ATTCACGCGGCGTAACCGCGCCCAGTTCCAGTCTATAGTCCGGCTTCGATTGGCTGCGGCTACTCTATATATGTATGCAGGCTGAAGGAGGCAGTTCTATGGCCATGCATCCTCCATTGGAGAGCAGGGCAACACGCTTGCCTCGACAGTAGAGGCGCCTAAGCTGGATCCTAAGTTGGTTACTTCGTAAATGCTCAGGCCACTGACGGGAACGATCGTGGAGGCTACCCATCAATGCTAGTTTGCTAGTGGGCAGGTCAAGCCGGCAGCCAAGAGCCACAGATCGTTCACGGCTGGGGACGGGGCCGTTAGAAGATCGATTCGCGCTCCACAGCCGGCGGCGGCGGCGTTGATTTGCCAGGGACAAGTCGAGGGGTCTGCCCTCAGTTCCATGCCGCCCCCCCGGCGACTTACACGCTATATGAGTAGTCGTCCTACCAGGAACGGGAGCCAGCGACAGACCCCAAGCGTCGAAAAGCCCGCGCCGACACGCGCCAAGTATATCGGCCACCAGCAAGTCGATTGAACGACAATCTGCGCGGCCATTTGTCAGGAGATAACCCGTATAGGCGGGCGAGCCTCGGGGAACCCCCAACTCAGGCACACATTACGAATATCCATGTGGGTTTATATTCCCGTACGTGGCTCGGGGTCCAGACAGCGCTGGGGCGGTCTCCCCGGCCAGGGTTTGGTTCCTTCCGGTAACATCTCCCGAGCGTGCCATTGATGCGTACACCTAGCGATTCCACGGACTCGTTCATACGCGAATGTCGTTGCCGTATTTCACCATTTTTATTATTTATTATTTTTATTGTTTTATTGTTTTTATTTGGATCTTTTGTTTTATTTCCTTTTTGAATATCCTCATGAGACCTCAAGCACGAACACTTACGATGTCTTATGAGGCAACCTGCCTCCCTTTCCATCCAGCATCTGATACCATCTATGAGTAGGAGGTCCCGTCTATAGTCCTATTGAGACCCCCCCCCCCCCTCCTCCTCTCCACCCCGTCTGCCTAGATATCTGCTAGGCTCTCTCTCTCTTCTCTCTTATAATGCATACGTGCGAAGATGCAGACGAGACACAGCACCCACATGCAGCTACACGCACATCAACACCCATCCCATACCGCACCATTACCATCCTATGCCATCGCCCCATTGGGTACTGGGGTACTGCTACGTTCTACGACGCCTGCTACCTATGCCTGCTTTTGGTGCGGACGAGCCATACGACCTCAAGTCCTCCTAGACCTATACCGAAATAGTAATTGGCAATTGTTGTATCGGCGCGCGTCCAGGGGTTGCCTACGAGTCCAGGGATATCTTCACACAGACAGGTCACTACCTACAGGTCACTAACCTACAGGTCACGACATACAAGTCACGACAGATAGGTCGCTACGTGTGTACGTGCGTAGGTACATTAAGTACCTACACACATACATACATTACCTAGGTACCTACATACATACCTAGGTAGGTACGTTAGGGGTTGCAGGCCGCATGGGGTTTCCCAAGAGAGCTTGCAGCCCGTCTCCTTCCCGGGCCGTCTCTGGCAATCCCTCTCCCCCGGGGTGGGTGTTCTTAGGTACCTTACGCAGGCGCATCAGGTACCTGAAGTATCTTGGCTGCTCGAGTGGCTCTGTCCGGTACCTTGCAGTACCGAAGTAGGTACTGATGTACGGCGGAGGTACGATGTGCGGAGGTAGGTACAATGTAGATAACATCAGGCGGTTGGGGGCGCTCTCTCTCCCTCTGTCTCGTCCTCTCGTCCTCTCGTTCCCTCTCCCGTTCTCTCTGCGTCTCTGCATTTCCGAGGCTGCCCATCCTAGCCGCTGCGCACTTGGGTGTTAGCGAGGGCTAGGACTCGGGTTCGGCGGCTTGGACGGGTGCGGCGCGGTGCTCTGGAGCGATGCGCCGAAACGCCCTCTGATCGGAGCCCGTAAATGGCCAAATACCTGTAGGCAGTGCAATCCCCCGGGTTCAGCCTGTTTGCTAGGGCTTAGGGCATGTACGTACAGCGGGAGGTACCTGAGGCACGCGTGTCGTGTGTATGGATATGTATGTACACACATGCCACGGCCACGCCGATTTCGCGCCGTTGGAGACCAAGAGGCGTAATGCAGAGGCAGGTCTATTGGCATGTGTGTAGGTATGTACATCGCGCCTACGCTCACCCCCCCTCCCGAACGCCCGAAGAGGGGTACTGTGTAGGTACCTGGCGAGGTACCTGCTTATAGGCTTAGCACCTCCTGAGGTAGCGAACCCCACCCTCTCCAGCAGCACACCACAGCGCGCGCCGCCCGCTACACCCACTACGTCTGTACTTACAACGCTACCGCCTACCTCCTAGACGCTACCTTCTAGACGCCATTACCACCTGCGCTACACGTACACTTGCCTACACTGCCTGCCTCGAGCATGCCCGAGGTACCTGCCATCGACACGCGCGCTAGGGGCTTTTGGCTCGTAGCTGCTCACATGTACCTCACTGCAGCAGGTACTTAGCTGGGTACCTGGCCCGCCTACCTGCGCAACTGGGCCACGCCAGGTAGCTACCTATCTAGGGCACCGACACGGGTACTCGCCTAGTGGGGGACGGGCCTTGGAGGGGAAGCTCGCCCCAACTGCGCTCAACCTTGGAACCAGCTAGGCCAGACGGGGTTAACTAGCCTGTTGCTCCTCAACCGCAGCCGCCTTCTCCAAACTCCTCCATCCTAGAATTATCTGCCACCGAATCACGAAGATCCCGGTACATATTTTTTTTTGGCACGTTTTTACTCCTCATACCTCGTTTTCTCTCCTCTCTGCTCTTTTCCGTCTCTCTCTCCGTCTCTCTCTCTCTCTCTCTCTCTCTCTCTCTCTCTCTCTCTCTCTCTCTCTCTTAATTGTCGCCCTGATCATCTCCGCGGAGTCGCAATTCCCATCGTAAATCCCGTCCTCTCTTCGTCCCGCGTCTTCTACCTGCTTATGAGAACCTACAGATCTTGCCCTGGTTTCCTCGCCGCCTCTCCCCCCTGCTCCCCCCCCGTCCTCCCCTTCGGCAACCCCCGTTTCTTCAACGAAGACGAAGGAGAGGGGAGGTACGAGATCCTGGCAGGATAAAAATAAATAAAATGAAGGGAACTCTGAGGCAGAGAGAGACAGAGAGAGAAAGACGAAGAATATACCTACTTACCTTTCTAAACCTATCTACTTACTTACCTACCTACCTACCTACCTACCTACCTTACATAGTGCTACTGCTGCTACTCGCTTACATTTCCTATCTCTCTCTCGGTCTATCCCCCCCCTCCCTCCCCTATCCTCGGTTGTATTTGTTTCCATCTGATTTGATATCTTAGCCTCCTCCCCCCTCGTCTACCCTACTATGTGACATTGGACGGTCTTTTTTCTATCTACCTAGCCTGGGTAGTATTCCTAGGTTGATTCGACCTCCTCGTCGTACGAATTCCGGCATTCTCGTTTTCTGGTTCGCCCTACGTTTTATCTCTCTTTGATTTCTGCCTCAGTCTGCCGATTATCGTCGTCGCTGCTACGATTACTACTACTGCTATTATTATTTCTTATTATCTTCGTCGGGTATACGCACCCCAGCGTACATTTACCCCTGTGTACTTCCTCAACCGCACTCCTGCGTTCGTATATACACCCACGTCCGAGTCTCTCTACTACGTATGTACGCTGCATCTGGGTGGTAAATAATAGTGCGAACGGATGCAGCATATGGACATGTATATGCGTCTGTGTGTCTTTGCGCCTGTCTTTGTGCCTGTGTCTGTATGTCTTGCGTTTCTGTGTATGTCTGGTATATTCACCTGTAGGTCTCGTCTCTCTCTCTATCTATCTATCCATTCCAATAATAATACTGCCTGCCCGCGTACCCAGTTCGGTAACATGTCAGTATGTGCAAGCAGACAATATCCTTCTCCCTCGACTTTTTCTCCCTCCCCACCTTTCATCCCTCCCCCCCGGTCCCCCCCCCCCTCCCTGGCTGGCAGGGTACCAAGCAGCTCCCATCGTTGAGTTGCATACGGCTCGATCTCGAGTAGCTCTTCGCAACCCCTACCTCTGAAGACCCTTAACTTGTTTAGGGTACAGTACCTACATGAGCCCATATACAAGATACACGTACATGCACACTTCCATAGTGATGTCTACATTCATCTACATTCCCCCCTTCAACCTACCTAACTCTACACTAGGGATGTATGTATTATGTAGGCAGGTATGTGTGGATGTTGTATGGGTGTATGGATGGACGTATTTAGTCCCTCGTCCTAACCTAGCGATCCTTAAATTGGCAAGGTACCAAAGTCCAGTATACATGCCGTCTCTACGTATCGTCGACCCCGTCAGCCGTTGTATGGAGCTCATCTGCCTATATATCCTTGCCTCCTCTCCCGGGTCTGGCCCGTCGGCCTCCATCTCGACGACCTCTTCTATGTCCTCTCCCGAAGCCCATTGTTTATTGTTAATGGCTTCTTTTCTTTAAACGGGGTTTCCTTCAGTCTGTTGTATTATATTGTCTCTTCCCCGGCTCTCCCTCGCCGTCGCCGCCGCCCCCGGCGTAGACCCTGCCTCGCTTCGACAAGCTCGAGGCCCTTCGCTCCCCGCCTGGTGGCTAGGACAAACTCTCGTTTTGAGGTTTCGATTTGGGGGCTTCCTTCTTTCTGCTGTTGTCTGCGGTACGCTCGTCCGAGATTCTACGCCTCCCTGGGACTTGCCAATAGTTGCCACCGTCGCGTAGTCTCGGGTTCGTCTACTGCTCCTAATCCCACCACCCATTAATCACGGCTACTCGCCCGGTCCATGTCCCTTCCCAGCGCGTGACCGTCGTGTCCAGAGCCTAGGGAAACCTCACTGGGGAAGACGAGGAATAGCCATACGACTATTTAAGGCAAGCACCGCTACTATGTACTAACCCGCCCCCCTCCCTTCGCTATATCCTGTTATTATGCCCTCGCCACGTCGCCTCGTGGAGCAACCACGCGAATCGCCATCCTCCAAGCCGCTTGCCTGCGGCTGTCCTAGAGATTCGCCCTCCAGAGGTTGCGTTGGAAGACACTACGGCTCTTACACGCAGTATTCAACCGCATCCTAGTCTTCTCCCCCCCGTCCCCTTCCCCCCTTATCCCTCGGAGCTCTACAGCTTCACTTCATACCCACCACCGCTCCTACCGACCCCATTGCGGCCCCCTCCCCCTTCCCTCGCCCCCGTCTCCATTCTGACTTCCCCGGTGGCCCCAGCAGGCTAACCCGTATGACCTTAGCTATATAGATAGACTGTAGGGGCTGTAGCAAAAAGAAACAGCTTCACGCAAATACCTTGGAGCATCAAATCTGACGACCGGATCGTATACGCCTCCCCTGGTCTTCAACTGAGCTGAGGCGGCCAAAGTTTAGAATTGATCTCAAAGGCCTTTGCCAATTTACGTTAATACGCCCCATCCCGGAAGCTTACGCTTCTCCCCCGGAGAGAGAAACTGCAAATTCGACGATGGACTTGTTCACGCAAATGACGGGGTTTCCACACCCGAACCTCGAATTCTTATCATCACCCAGGTTCTGGTGGTGCACGTTCTGGATCTTGTGGTAAGTCTTCCCACCTCGGCAGACCGTCCCGCGGCGCCGCATCCCCTTTTTCTTTTTCTCTCCTTGAAAACCAGAAAAAGGAGAAAAATTAAGAAGGTAAAGAATTCCCTATTTGAGAGAAGGAATTTAATCAAGAAGGGGGATACGATAAAAATGGACCTGGCTCTCTTCCTCAATTTTGCTGTCACCGCACGCCCGGCACGTTCAGATTTCCTAACTCGCCGCCAGGGTCCATCGTTATCTACGTTTAATTGTCCACACTTTCAGTCACTGGTTTTATAAGTCAAAGCCCATCCCTGCCAAGCCAGCTTTTACCGCACAGGACGTGACGGTCATAATTCCCACAATTCATAATGCCTTCGACGAGCTCCGCCCTTCGCTAGAGAGCATCTTGGCATGCCATCCCCGTGAATTAATCCTGGTGACGACGGTGGACAAGCTGACTGCGCTGGAGAAGCTCGCGAGCACGCTCTCGACACCGGACGTCGTCCGCGTGCTGTTCACGGCCATCGCGAACAAGCGGCTCCAGGTGTGCGAGGCCCTACCCAATGTGATGACGAAAATCACGATCATGGCGGACGACGACGTTACCTGGCCGTCCACGCTCATCCCGTGGATCCTGGCCCCCTTTGAGGACCCGAAGATCGGGGGCGTTGGGACCTGCCAGCGTGTGCGGCGGGAGAGGAACGGATCCTGGTCGACGTGCATCTTCAACTGGCTCGGAGCGGCGTACATTGAGCGGCGAAATTTCGAGATCTCAGCCACACACAACATTGACGGTGGGACATCCTGCATGTCTGGACGGACCGGCGCTTACCGATCGGAAATTCTCTCGAGCCACGACTTTCTCGAAGGCTTCAAGACGGAGCGGTGGCGCGATTTCATCCTAAACGCCGACGACGACAACTTCGTGACCCGCTGGCTCGTGAGCCACCAGTGGAAGACGTGGGTCCAGTACGAGCGCGAGTGCGAGATCGAGACTACGCTCGAGAACGGCCTCAAATTCCTCTACCAGTGCTCCCGATGGGCCCGAAGTAACTGGAGAAGCAACTGGACAAGCCTGTGCCGCGAGAAATATGTGTTTACGTAAGTCTCACTTACACGAACCCCCCCTGGCAGGAAGCCCCCCCTTTCCAGCCCAAGCTTGGAGTAGCAACCGACAAGACCCCCCCCTCTCCCCCCCCCCCCCCCGCCTCTATATGTGTACCTACATATATACTACAACCACCACCACCACACCACCACCACCAACGCCCAGACCGAAAATCCTAGCACGGCCATTTCATTAACGGGGTATTTGCCCACTCATGCTTGCAGTCAACAGCCGTGGAGCACCTACGCGCTTCATATTGCGACCTTCACTTCCCTGGCCTTCCTCGTGGATCCCCTCCTCGTCCTCTCGCTCTGGTGGGGAAGCGAGGGCTGGGACATGGATCTCCGCCGCCGCTGGTTCTGGGCTCAGATCATCTTCATGTTCGCCTACACTAAGGTTGTCAAGCTCATCGGCCTGTTCCGACGACACCCAAGCGATGTCATCTTCCTGCCCGTCTCCATCATCTTCGGCTACTTCCACGGGTTGATCAAGCTCTACGCGCTTGTGACCTTGAACATGGTAGGGCGCCCCCCTCTCTACTCCGCAACACTAGCGCTCGCGACATTCCCTCCTCTCCTTCTCTTCTCCGGCCTGTGTCGCTAACGTGTGCCGTCCCGGGCAACATGCAGACCTCGTGGGGAAGTCGACCTGACGGTGATGCTAACGACGCTTTGCGGATGGCCCGCCGCCCTAAGAGGAGCGATAGTGTCGCCACACCTCGGCCTCGGCCGGACGATCTCGAGCGTGTAATGAACGTGATAAGCCACCGTTCGCGAAACGCCCAAACGGTCCTCCCCGAGAAAGACGTACGACACGACAGGGACTTTCCACACATCGCCATAGTAAAGAGCTAGGAGCGCGCGTGCGCGCGTGTACGAAGAGAGAGAAGGGGGGGGAAGGGGGTGTGGAGAAAGAGGAAGAGCAGATGGGGGTGTCTCATGCTCCGCTGCAGTTTTATTATTCGGCTACCTGGGACGGATGACTTGGGGCTCACAGCAGCACGAAAATGGTTACGCATTTTACGATTTGATGAACGCGAGGTGTCTACGGTTCGTTTTTTTTTACGCCGGATGGTTTATCGGAAGAGGTCAAAACGGTACTCTCCATCCTACGGTATACAACGCCGCCGCCACACGAAAGAAAAAAAAAACGTGGATGGAGGTCGGACCCATGATGGCTTTCAGCCTATAAGACGGGGAAGTCTTCTTTTTAGGTCTTGGGGCGGTTAGATATAATCTACAACCCAGACAAAAAAGAAAGGGAAGAAACCCCTGCCCCGCCCCCCAAAAAAAACACAAAAAGGAGAGATAGGAAGAAATCTTGGAGGAAAAAAAAGGAGAGCCTCCCTCGGTCTTGTAATTTGTCGAGGCGGCGGAGAACTTCTTCTCCCTCGACCAAACAAAACCCGTATTACCTATTTATTTAAACAGGTGGGAGTTTCTACTTCGCACCCCAAGGGTTCAACACAACACGAACCGCAGACGAGTTGGAAGAGAAAACTCGTCATATTCGCAACGATACGATGCGATAGCAATAACAGAGGGCGGCTTCCTACTGGATGGATGCGACGGCATGGTTACCTTCTAACCAGCCCCCCTCCCCCTTTTTCATTCCTCTCCTCGCATCGCATATTTCGGCATGCATCACCTTTCCCGCTCGGTTTTACAACCTAAACCCAAAAATTGCTGGTACGGGTTGGAGAGGGAAGACTTCACGGACGCTTAGGTGCGATGGGGAGGGCAAAAACCGGAATAGATTGTGAATGTAGTCTGCATGGATGTCTTCGGATCCTCATAGATGTGTTAGAGGGGCATCACTCGAGACCAATGCGAGGCCGAAGAGGAATAATTCAGAAGAAGGGTATTTTCTACGATTGTCCTCTCTTTTCTTCCTCTTCACATGCCGAGACCTGATTCGACGGGGCGGGTGCGTACGCCTCTCTCTCGATCTATCTCTGTGCCTATGCACGTATGTAAGTGCGTGGGTGTACGCGCCGCGTATGGATGTGTGCAAGCGTGACACTGCATCGTCGGTCTATGTAGTGAGATGTCTATGGGCTCTGCGATACGACTGTATCATGGGATTACCGCTTCCATCGAGTCTGGAAGCAATCTCACCCACCCTCAAGCCACCGATCCGAACACCCCGGCAGCATGCCATGTCGGTCGTGCAGCATAACAGGGACGCCACGGCATATGCAGATGCAGCTGAGCGAAAACGCGAGGGCGGCGGCCAGAGGGGACTCTGTCCGAGGAGGCGTGGCGTTACACAACAGCATCGGCATCGTCCCTCAGGGGCAGCACACATACAGACAGCTACATGGCTGGGACGAGTTCCAGTCCCAGATGTCGCGCAAGCCTTGGCAGGCAGCATGTGAGCGAGCACCGGCGCCGCAGGAAGCAGAACCGGAACGGGACAGTCAGCCCAGATGAGCGAGAGATCCGGTGCACCCCTCCCCCCCCCCCCTCTCTCCCTCCTCCACTACGCCAAGTCTGGGGAGGCTCTGTCTGTAGAAGCTCATAGGTCGTCTTGCGGCCCAGTCGGATGGCTTGACGATTCGTTTCTGTCCTGGCGGGGGAGTGTGGCATTGACTTGCTTACGATCAGCCCCGGCCGTCATTCGCCTACGACGAAATCGAAGCTAGCCCTATAGCATCGTATATCTGGCCCTCTGACTAGAGGCCGACGGGGATGATGGCTGTTGAGAAATCCAACCATTGTTTCCTTAGCTCAGCACACAGCCATCTTGGTTTCCAACCCCCCCCCCCCCTCTCTCCCCGCCTACAACCCTCGTTCTCAACCTGCCGGCGAACCCCACCACCGAGGCCTTGTCGGATATATATACTACGTATGCTAGATACACTTACTATGCAACTAGACTGGGGAGGGGGATTCGGTCGTGAGACTAGCAGCTAAAATCCCACGGTAGCGTTATCGAAAAGCATTGGAGCTTTATTGGATGCTACCGGACGAGTTTTCCGTACTTCCCAGTCCGGGGTCAGCAGCCGGGGATTTTCTTTAGATCTTGGGGTCGTGTTCGTCTCGGGGTCTATGCCTTCGCTAGGACAAGTGAACAGATAAGCCACATCTCTAGAACCATGCACGATACGGCGTAGATGGCCGATGGAGAGGGGGATGGAGGGGGAGGGGGGGCGCAATCGGCCGGGGTAGGGATAGGAGAACGAGGAAGAGGAGAGGAGAGGATGGGAGAGAGCCCTGAAGAGGCGATGAAAGGACGTGACGTGACGTGAACTCCACCCGCTCTAACGTTGTCCATCCGACTAGACCTATGATAACCTAGCCCGATAAGCCTGGACGGACTACCAAATTACTACTGCTGAACACCTGTGGCCAACCCCGCAATTATATCTTCAGCGTAATTCGTGCTATTCTTGATCTTACCAGGGGTGGAAAGGGAGGGAGGGGGGGGGGGGCTCAGGCTGCGGACTTTCCGAGCCGACGAGTCCATAATGACAGAGCATCAGCTGGTCACCCAAGTAGCTAGTTGGCTAAGTCGTCTATGAACATAGCTACGTCTCCCCATCTCCAGTAAATTCCCTATTTACCCGAGACTAGGAGGGGTCGCAGAAGTACTGGGTGCCCTTCAAGACTGTCCCGTGGGCGTAGGGCCGTATATTCCGGCTTATCGTGGCGTCCTCCGATGAGTGAATGGCAGGGCTTCGTTGCTGCTACCCCCCTCCCCCCTCCCCCCCGGGTTCGTAGTGGACTAGGCCTTGGCATCTCTTAACATGATCTAGAAACGATCTCCTTCCTTCGGGTGATCACGATCGTTCCGGACATATATTACTGATATATCGTATGTAACTTCTCCCATAGCTTCAGGCCTATGTAGGTGTAGCGTGGGCTATGCAGTCATGGTCGTGCTCGCCAGGGCAAAAACCTGGCATGGCGACAACGCGATCTTACCACTGTGGGCCGAAGGCCTAATTTAGGAAAAAGAAAGAAGAGAAGAGAAGGCAAAGACGGTTATCTAGGGTGCTACCACGAGGAGCTGCCTGCAGGTCTTGGCGGGTTGACGTACCTACACTATGAGTACGTGGACGATCTCCCACAGCCCATCGCCGGATATTACCACGATGGCATCCTCCCTCTCTTATCTGGGCTGGGTGTGCTCGTATGCGTATGCCGTAGGTACACATGGCCATACTACCCAACCAGCAAGCCGAGCCGGACAGCATTGGTCAGATATTCGATACCTGCCCACCCCCTAGACGACGCTGTAACCGAAACCATCGCCCAGCATACGCCAATGCGATATCACTCGCATGTTTTGACAGCGCTAACGCGTCGAGCGAAGAGAAGGAGGGGGTGGCACAACCTATCTTACCTTACCCTATGTAGCACCTAACGTCCTCGCCATATACCCCGGAGTCTCGAATGATGGAACCAGAAACTCGAATCTTTCGCTCGTGTGGCCTCTCTCGGTACCGGCATTAGCACGTAACCCTCCCCTCCCACCCCTCCCTCTTCCCCCCAAGTGCGACGGTATCCACAGCGCCCTCTTGGTACAGAATCTAGATCGCGGGGGGTTTTTTTTTTATATTTTTTTTTTTGATATCGGAGAGGGGTGGGTGGGAGAGGATGGGAGCTCGGAGACTCCGAGACGTTGTCACAAGAACGGGTAGGAGAGAGTGACAGAGAGAGAGCGAGGAAACGGACTACGGACTACGGGCTACGGGGATGGTGCTATGACGAGAGAGAGCTGAGCCAGACTCTTTAGTCACGGTGCCGATCCTGATTTCTTGCATTGCGCGGACGGCCGATGACTTAACGAGGCGCCAGAGAGGGCTGACGAGAGACGACTAGACATGGACCAGGCCCCTAACGTACGGAGGGGAAGAAAACCTGGGCGCGAACCATCCAAGCCCTGCTAGCCCACGATCCTAACGTGATCTCGTCGAGAACTCTTACTAGACGATCGATCACGTATCTAGTGGAGACCAGTTGCGCTACCTACCTACCTACCTACCTACCTTACATAGCTACCTACCTCTTCTTAGGGATGGAAAAGGGGAGGGGAGGGGAGGGGAGGGGGGCGGAAAACACGCGCAGGTACAAACTTGTCATCTCGCTAGGTCGCGTAGCACAAGCGAGATGACGATCACGATCTTGGAGGCATCCCGGTTGCGTATGGAAAACTGTAGATGGGGTGGAAGAAGAGGTCGATCACGATCAGGCCACGACCAAATCTTCCTAGGGCTGGACTGACTGGGTGCTGTTCTCGTCGCCTCACCTTCTTGCTACGTCCCCTACATACCTACAGTGCAGCGTTACCACGGGAGCCCCTTTCCCCTTTCCCCTGGTCTGACTGGTTCCTTGTGGGATTCGATAAGCACTGCTACATATGGGTATGCATGGCTGAGTAGCCATGCCATTTCGGAAACGCCCGCCGCGTTATACCTAGCAGCGACGACGAAGAGAGAAAACGGCGAGAGAGAGAGAGAGACCTAGGAGAGATAGGAAATGAACACACACACACGCCTGGGACAAGGAATCGAGGGGATGTGCAACCTACTACCTACACGTCTGCAATATGCAGACAATCTTCCAGCACTATCACCCCCCTCCCCCCCCCAACCCCCCTTTCCCCCTACAAGGTGTGGAGAACTACCCACGGGCGTACATACCATATAGGTAGGCATATAGTAAGGTAGGCCACCTTGCAAATCCGCGCGCGAGGCTCTGGTATAGGTATGGGTAATCGCCGATGTGTCCGTACTACCGAGGACTAGCTGCGTGTGCTACCGTCCGCGCTAACACGCGCAGGGCCTTGGCGATTTGCAACGTCGTGAGCCGCGCTTAACCTGATCCTCTCGGACCTGCGTTGCGATCCTGCACGGTTTTACAAATAAAGGTGGGTGGGCAGAGGTAGGGGGTAGGGAACAAGGGGGGGGAGAGAGCCAGGGGGGGAGAGCCAGGGGGGGGGGGGCGTGTGCGGACGCGAGATGGTGGTTCGTCTTGCAGCTCTCCTCCTGCTCTGCTATCGGAACCCCTCTAGCTACGGGTTGCTCGAAAAAAGAGGACATGGTCGACTGCATTACGAGATGTATGTACCTACCTACCGCCCCATACCTACGTCCCTCGCAGCAAGTAGCTCGCCACCTCGTACATACATAACGCATATGCAGCCGGGGCGGAAGTATCCTGACGGAGCAAATGGGAGGCGGAGGAGGGGAGGAGAAGGGGGAGGGAGAGGAGGAGGAGGAGAGGAGGAGGAGGAACAGGAGGCGAGGGCCAGAGGGAATGCCGTGGCGCATGTAATATTGCTCACCTACATACACACGTATACGCTATTA